GGAAAAGGCAAGAGTTGGAGTCTTGTAGAACAAGAGACTGAATTTGTTGAAAGCGACGAAACCCTAGCTAGCTCGTTATCTTCCATCATCATCATTGTTATCTACTTTACTTTACACACATTTGCATGTAGCAATGGTGTCTTTGCTTGCCCTAATTCCACCCCATGGTGGAATTCGATGCACAAAGACCAGTCATCAGTCAGGTAGACATACGACCATACACACAAACTTCCCTTTCACCTAATGAGTAAATTTGGATTTGAAAAATGAAGGTTTGTGGTATAATTTGGATTTTGATAAACCATGGATATATGAGGATTTTGGGTTCATTATGGATTTGAAAAAGATCATTGTTTGTTTCATGGATTTCATTATGGATTTTGTTAATTAAATTTGTATGTGTAAAGTGAACTTTACCTTTTATTCCCTCAATGATATAAGAAGAGAAAGAAAATATGATATGTAGGTTGGTAAAAAATGATGGACTTCAAAGTTCATGATCAATTCCTACCTAAAGAGTTGGGATTTTCAAGTCCATGGGTCCCACGGATTAGGACCCTCAAAGTCTATGTGTCCCACAGATTTGTTACCTCTAAGTGTTGTTTGGAAGTTATGATTCTTCAAATTGATGTATTGGGACAATTAGTGTATTATCATTTGATGGATTGAATAAATTGATGTATTTGGTAAATATCTTTTGGAGGTTTAGATTGTGTTTTTGTTCCAAAGTTAAAAAAGTTAGTATTGAGTGATTGTGAAGAATCTCATCAAAAAGTAGAGATTGGAAATCCCTCAATATTGAGTGATTGTGGTGGGGCCTCCAAAAAGTAAATGCATGTATTCTAATTCTATATAAACAAAAAAAAAAGACTTAATCTCACAAATACATGAATTAGATCAATACAACACTTGAAATCACAACTTACAAACGACCCCTATATACTTGAAGCAAACAATGGAATTTGGACAAAGTCCATATGAACTCAAATCCATCACCAAATCCATCAAGCAAACAAGCAGGTTTAACGGCCTTTCGCATTTCCTCGCATTGCTACAGTCTTATATAATGAAAAACGAGATAAACTTCGTCATCCCAGCGATTCGTGAGGTGTTGATATTGATTAGTTTGATTTTGACATTGTATTAAAGGTGTTGATTGTCGAAATGTGGATGCGAGTTCGAAAATTGGTATTGATGTTTGAGTTAATTAAGCTTGACATATGGTGACATGTGAAGAGTTTAAGTCTAATGATGAATCGTTTTGTTTGAAGAAACATGTAAGAGAATGATAAATATTCATTCTTGACTTCCTCTTTGATATCCACATGCAATGCTACTTTGGTATTGGTAAGCATTAAGTTAGTTGAAAAATTATACATTTGGTCTTTGTAAGCGCTTAAGTCAAACATTTTTATTTATGTAACCTTATCGATTAACTTTTATTCACTGATAATGTTTCGAAGGATATTTTTAATTCACCTTATAGGTTAAGTGAATTAGAAATGTTCATCGAAACATCATCATTAAGTCCATTTACTAGGACTTAACTGAAGGTTTGAAATTACCTTTATCAGCAAATATTTCGCAAATAGCAGGTATTAAGGTTATCCTTGAAAATAAACACGTAAAAGTGTGAAAACTAAACTACACCCATGGAATGTATATTTTTCCTATAATTAATACTCAGAAGCTTTAAGCCATAAAACCCTTGGAACGAATTACACCTTATTATAGTACAACTTCACCCTAATGACAACATAAGTATGGTACTTGCAATTTATTACTCATACTTTAACTATCTCCTCCTCTTGAGTGCATGAAACTACATGCAGTAACTAACATATACTCAGATACTAGGGTGCATCTTTTTTCTTTCACATGTCAAGTTAAACACTGGTATATATCAGGATAAAAGTACATTTCCATGGAATATATAACTCTAGTACAGCTATACTGAATATTAGGAATGTGAAATCTATGTTGTAAAATTAGGTTAGCTAGCTAGATAGAGAAAGAATCTGTGTTACCTTCTTACCCACTTCATTAAAGTTAAAAGAAAAGAAGGGGGAATTTTATTAGAAAATTGAAAAGACAAAGTTATAGTATAGCAGAAGAAGATTCCCCATGGAGGGGTGGGTATAGAAAGAAAGAAAGAGAAGAAGAATTGTTGCTTTATTATTATTAAGCTCTTTTTTTCTTCATTTTAAGACCTTAATTTTCAATTTGGAGTCGTAGAATTGGAACATCAGATATTCCTTTCTTAGAGACAACAAATATTTTATTCTCTTACATAATATCATCTATCCCTCTCCTCACCTCTTCTAGCTTTAGCTATTTGCATCAAATTCATACCCTAACTTTTGCTACTCTTCTCAGTGTCGCATTTGGATTAGATATTCCCTTTCTCCTCTCCTCTTCTCTCATACACACGATATTCACTCGCATTTGAAGAGTAATTATGTGCAACTTTTTTTTTAACTGAAAAGAGATGGTGTGATGCTGGATGCTGCATGGCATGGAATTCTAATGTGCACACCAATTCTATTTTAATATCAAGATGATATTCTTGTCAATAACTCATTTGTGTTATATGAGATGAAGATCTGGAACCAGATGATCAAATGGAATTCTGATGTGCACACCAGCTCGTAACAAAATTAACAATTGTTAAACTCTTGTCTATATCAATTGCATTTTACATGTATCATTAGCCCGCAACGTAACTAACATATGATGTTCAAACATATCTTGTACTTGACAAACACTAGTGTGTTCATAACAACCTAACAGGCCCAGGTTTGACTTGCTAGGGGAGGGGGGTGTTAGAGAAGAGTACGATCTGCCGATTGGGCAACGAATGTTTTGAACGATTCTCGTGAACCGATGTCTTTTCTTCGCTTTCACTCCAGCGAGACATGCGAAGAAACTGGTGTAACTGTATTCAAATTGTCACCACCAAATACCGATAATTATGCGAAAAAAAATCTCATTTTCATCGTTTGTTGGCATCCATGCCATTAATTTATTCTTTTATCAGTCATTTCTAGCTAACAACTTGTAACATCGATTCACTGTAACTCTTCCACCACCCCCACCTCCCTTGGTGCTCTAAGAATTTCTGTGTACCTACGGAACACAATAATTCAAATACCAAGACAAAGGTATATGCTAAACCTTTCTTAAAGCTAGTTCTAGAAGTTCTTCCTATCTCAAACACCAAAGGACAAAGGAATTCAATACTACCAATAATAATTGTGCCTATAATGTTAATCGTACGATATATGATTGGTTAGTTACTAAAGAGACAACTACGGTTATTCACATTAAGGACGAACCGCAAGTACGATATATAGCTTTGCCATAGACGTGGCCAACATCTGGCATTTTGTCACTGTCGTGAACTAAGTGGGTTAGTTGTACAATCCCTCATATGAGTAAGCACTCGGCCACCACATCGCAGTATCCAACGGTTCAATTATGGATACCAAGTTAGTGATTGTGAAACCGTAGCGGAAGTTATATCGAAAATTTTTGTATGTGGTAAGATATTTTTGTGCTGGAATTGTTGTTCAACTATTTCGTACTGCTAAAATCGCCTCTCTTTGGTTCGATATCGGACCGACCGGTACAATTTCGAAAACATTATGGTAGACAAATCCAGATTTTGCGTACTTAACAAATAGAAACATTAATTGTGCGAATTGGGTTGAAGATGTTTAGTGAGACTGAGATGGTTGATGTTATCTTTTTGTGCGTACAGTCTGCATTCAATTAGACTCATTTGGCTTCGATCCGAATTAGACCAAATACATATTCAAAATCATTAAAAGTGCATATGAGTCCATTTGAATCTGATTCGATACTCATACGGATCACGACAATTAATTGAATCAAATTACTCGATTAGTCCATATACATTGTCATTTGTGGGTTCAACGCATATTCATGACTTTCCAACATATCTACCCAAATTCACAACCCAAAGAATCCAAGTCATGCATTGGAAGTTTGGAATTCGAGTTTCTTTTATCCATTTTTTTCTCGTGATGGTATGGTTTCAGATTTACAATAACTTCATGAATATCATATAAATTCAGGAAAACAATCTGTTTATCCATACATATAACATATATGATCATTCACACCCCTAACTATAAAAGAGAAACCCGGAGATGTTCCCCCTTTCCTCATGTTGGGTTCATTACTTTGTTTAGGTGGTCACCAAAGTGCCCTCCTAAAACTCAAAGAAGCCCACAATGCTATCTTAGCATTATTCTACACGATCCCACACATTGAAGGGATAGAAAGCCATTACTTGGGACCTTTTGAATGGTCTTTGTTTGTGTGAGAGAGAAGAGCCCAATTGAAAGAATGTCACGTGGGGTTTGAAAGCCATGCCATGCAAACGTAGACTAGGGAATCCAATGCACTACCAAGTTCATATTTACACCAAAAACCATAGTTCTTTTAACCCTATGATCAACAAACAATTCCTAAGACTGTAAAAAAAAACACACAACCCTGTAAATGTATGTAAAGAAGATGATAAGAAAGGGAAGAAGAATCATCTTCTTTTCCTTTGAGTATTTTGGTGAACAAGTTTGAATATTTGTACAGTGAGATATACTCTCTCTTTATACCTATCTTACAACATTTTAATATACACCAAAACAAAAGGAGACAGAGCACATGAACCACCCCATCTTACACTGTCAGACCAGAAGCCAGCCAGCCAGCCTCTTTCTTTCCTCTGATTCCTTGTTTCAGAGAGAATAGAGTCACCTTACCCCCTTCCATTCTCTCTCTAGCAATTCCAGTTTTTGGCTTTTTGCCCTCCTTTTCTTTTTCTGCAAGAAGTTACCATCCATCTTTATCCCCTCTCTCTCTCTCCCTTGTGCTCTATCTCTTACACTCACCACCTTTAACTTCCCTCCCTCCTTTCATTTCCTTTTCTTTCCCTCTCTATAAATTCCTACATAGCTACTTTATTCCCTTCTTGAACCCCCATATCCTCCTCCTCTGCCCTAACAAGGCCAAAACCAAATCTTTGTTCTCTTTGCCCGTTTCCCCCTATAGCTTCAAAAACCCATCTCTCTCTTGTTCTTTAGCATGATCTGAGAGAGACTGCTTCATCATTACTTTCTTGTCCTAAAGATTTGTAGCAGCAATATAATCAATCAAATGGCATCTCCTTCTGAACTAAGCTTGGACAATTGCAAGCCCCACACCCACTCTTTGCTTTTGAAATGCTTCTCCGACCAAATCATTACTCCTTCTAGTACTCATCATCAGGATCATCAGCAGCAGCCGCAAAAGCAGCAGCTGGAAGAGTTCCTGTCCCGGCTCGAGGCAGAGAGGCTAAAGATCGACGCTTTCAAGAGGGAGCTCCCTCTCTGCATGCAACTCCTCACCAATGGTACAGTAAAATCGAAAACCCACAATCCCATTTTGTTGCTCGACGTCGATTTCGATGTAAAGTTTCCATCTTTGACGTTATTTCTTCACTTTCTTAGCTATGGAGAGCTCGAGGCAGCAGCTGCAAGAATACAGAGGAACCCAACAACATCACCAGACAACAACAGTTGTGCTCGAAGAATTCATACCCTTAAAGAACTCAGCTTTACCTCCATCCGAATCGGCTTCCGTGGAGATTAACACGGAGAACAAGGCGAATTGGATGACGACAGCTCAGCTATGGAGCCAGGAGACCAAGCCTCAACTACCTTCAGCTTTGTCACCTCTGCCTCCACCAAAAGATCAAACAATGATGGGATTCAACGTTAGCCCCAAATTTGAACTGGAAGAAGCAACAAAGCAGAGGGATTGTGGTGGAGGAGAAAGAGGAGGAGGAGGAGGAGGAGGAGCTTTTCTGCCCTTCTCAAAGGAAAGGCTACACTCGCCCTGTCCTGCTCCAACTCTGGCTCTGACTGCAGCAATTGGCTCCTCAGCAGAGATTAACCATACCCATCAGGGAAAGAGTGATACTTATAATGACAACGTTAATCACCATGGGTTTTCTTGTACGAACAAAAGAGGCGGTGGGAATCGGTCATCTTCAGACGGGCCAGTGGAGAGCAATGGTAATGGTGGGAACAACAATGGCGGCAGCCAGGGGCAGAGGAAGGCCAGGAGGTGTTGGTCGCCGGATTTGCACCGGAGATTCGTGAATGCGCTTCAAATGCTTGGTGGGTCTCAAGGTATGTAACAGAAAGATGATAACTTTGCTGTTAGTTTACTGATTTTCATGATTGATTTTCATGCTATAGATTGTGTAGTAATTAATGATTGCCCATCTTTTTTTAGTTCTTGTTATGAGTAGTTAATTAACTGTAATGGAGGGGCCATAGGGGGATTGATTATTTATTCATGTTTTTTTTTTTTTTTTTTTTTGTGTAGTGGCCACTCCAAAGCAAATCAGGGAACTGATGAAGGTTGACGGTTTGACCAATGATGAAGTTAAAAGCCATCTCCAGGTACCATTCTCTCTCTCTCTCTTAACTGTGATTATTCTTTGCTTACACTTTGAGCATGTTTGTTTGGGCCCAAAAAGAAGCCTTCAATTATATGATTAAACAAGTCATGTAACCTAATCTAAATGGGTTAACACCATTTTCACAAAATTCACGGTATTTAGGACAGAAATAGGACATTAAATTCTGGTAATTCAAAGGATATACCACAATGTGGACAAATTGTTAGTACAAAAACAGCTGACCTGACAAAAGGGGAGGCTCAGGGGACTGAACTGTTGCAGAGGGGAAAAAAAATGAAAAAAATCAAAATTTTGTTTTTGTCTGTTTGTTTGGACCCAAGAGATCTTCATAATGAGATTTATCTTTTTTGTTTTTTTTTCTTTTATTTTGGGTCACAGAAATATAGGTTGCACACAAGGCGACCGAGTCCAAGCCCACAGGCGCCAGGTGGGCCTGGGCCCCAGCTCGTGGTCCTGGGCGGGATATGGGTCCCGCCGGAGTACGCCGCCGCCGCGCACGGCGGATACAGCGCCACCGCCCACGGGCCTCCGTCGCACTTCTGCGCCGCCCCGAACTCCGTCCCACAAGACTACTACGTTGCCGCCGGCGGAATGCCGATCCATGCTGCTATTCACCCTCCGCCGCAGCACCACCACGCCGCCGCGGCGGCGCTTCAGCACCACCACCAGGTCCACGTGTACAAGACGACGTCGTCCCAGGCAAATAGCTCCGGGCCGGAGTCGGACGACAGAGCGGCCGGGAGAGAGAGGTCAGAGAGCATCGAGGATGGCAAGTCGGATAGCAGCAGCTGGAAGGCTGGGGAGAGCGGCGACAATGCGGCGGTGGCCGCCGCCGGGAGAGGATTGGCTGCGTTGAGGGAGAATGGGGAGGAATGCAATCGGAGTGAAATCACTCTCAAATTTTAACCCAAAAACATCATTAAATAATTAATTTTCCCTTTTTTTTTCTTTCCTTTTAGGGTTTAGGGTTTTCAGTTAGATGAAATTCGAGGTTCGTTTGTGATCAACTCATCTTCGCCTAACTTCTCATTTCGATGCCCAAATATTACTATTGTTCCACATTCGGTCACCCATTAATATTTTTAGTATGAATCGATCCTCTTCATCTTGTTCTCTCTTGCATTGCGGTGTAGTGTAACTATGTAATGTAAGCTTTCGTCAAAGTAGTTTGATTCCATTGGCTTAGAAATGTCCTGGCACGTTAACGCTGATGGATCGTGATACGATCAACCATCGATTCGTTACGATAGTAGTTTGATTCCATAAAAAAGGAGAAGAAAAGTGGGGGCTTGTTTTTGTATCCTTTTGCAAATTTCAGAGGTGCCTATTTGGAGAAAAGGGTTCTGGAACTGGTGGTCTGATATTTGCAGGCTGTACCCACTATTTCCAGTTCCTGGCATCATTCTGACAAATTTCTGTCCCAAAACTTTTAATGCCTTGATGGACATATATGCCCCTTGTCTTGTACATTCTGCAACAACAGGGTCAGGAGGACTCAGCAGGGAACCTCTTGTCCTTGGCAAAGAGAGAAAAAAGAGGGAGGTTTTAGTTTTAGTATGGAAATGGAAGTTGCAGGCTTTTCCAATTGCAGTGAAAGATGTACAACAGATATGGTTATGGTCAGGAAGATGACCATATCTGTAAAGCTAAGCAGGTGGGTTTGTTTGTCTTTTTCCTTCCCAGTATGCCCTCCATCCAACCAGAGTGAAGGACACAAGGTTCAGGAAAAGAAGAGAGGAGAGAAGAGAAGGGAGCCGAAAGCATCTGATGCAGTTGGGCTTCTTTCCAGCTTATTCTCTGAATTCTCTTTCTCTCACACACAAGCTTTCATAAAACCACTTTACCTCCCTTTTGCTCAAGTTTGATCCAAAGCAACTTGCTTTGAACAAAGCTTCAGATGGGATTTCACACTGTGCAAGTGCAACAGAGGAACACTTTTTCCATTACAAATTCAAGCAATCTCTTCTTAGTACAAAGCAGATTCAACTAACTACACATCTCACATAGGGTATGAACAAGCGGTATTGCATAGATAAACGCAAGCACATCAGCAACAATTGTATTAACGATTTTGATAGCCGTAAGGCGGGGCTATAGCAGTTTTCTTCCGATTAGCAATCAAGCAGTGTGGACTTTCTCAATTCCACCACAATAAGGATGTAGGGTAGTTTGAGCCGGAATCTACCTCAATACCCAACTTCCATGCCCACATCACTTTCTATCAGAGTTGAATCAACAAGAGTCTGCAATTATAGAGCCAACGGATTTAGTACCGAGCGATTGGTAAAGTTGAGAGAGCATAAGGGTTTTACATACAGCTGACCTGAAGCTCATGTTCACTGCTTTTAAGTCTTTCAGTATATTCCTTCATTTGCACGTAGCACTTGTGGAGCTGCATATTATACCACGAAAGAATACAACTATTAACAAAAATAAAGATCATCCAACAATTTCGCAAAGTCAGCTGAAAGCCTATGGTTGTTACCTTGGCCAACTGTTCCTTCCGCTGGGATGTGCGCATTTTGGCTCCAACCAATGCATCTTCAAGTTTCTGCAATCATCATTTAGTTCCAAGTGCTGGAGAAAAAGATGAGAAGTAGCGTAGTGATAGAGGAAGTACCGTAGCTTTTCTCTGCAGACTGGACACAAGTTTTTGTTTGTCTTCGAACCTTCCTCCCATCAGGGAAATCTGAAGGAATGGGAGTTTCTTTTAGCAATCCCTTTAACGTAAATAGAAGAGAAGGGACATGGGAACCAGGGACAAGACACAAGAGATGCATCCAAACTCAACAGCATAAGTTTCTTTTAGAGCTTCTTACTTGCTTTAAGGTCAAATTTAGGAAAGAGGTATAAGAAGGTAACAGCAGTATAACTCTTCAATTTGGTACACACAAATTTACCCTGGTGAATAGTTAACACAATTTCTCTGTGGATGAAACCAATAATTTCAATTGTTTTCACATTTCTAATTAAACAGTTGCAGGAGAGCCACTGCAACAATATTGGTTACTTAATTCTAAGATAATATTTGGCAGAATAACTTCCAAGTAAATCATATTAATTACATCAACCGTGCCCCTATAACAAATCATACAGTTCTGGAAAGGCAGCCACTAGCCTCAACAAATTATCGTGATTTGCTACTAAGTGAGAGACTAACCTCCTTCTTCAGATCATCATGTCTCTGGATTGATCTGTCAAGCTGTACTTTCACCTAATTTCAATAAAAAGGAAATGATAAGAATTAGAAACCAAAATGCTTATTTTCAAAGTATGAATGGACCGCAGATTGAGCATGACCATATTTACCTCATCATCATCATAATCAACGCCCAGCTCAAGTGATATAACCCTGGTAGACCTGTCGTTGTACGTTGAACTACCAAAGCACATTAAATACGGAGCTGAACATCACTTAACTATTTTCACATGAGATAGATTCAACCAACATATAGGCAATAAACGAGCATTGCATCCAGCACATAAGAAATAGAAAGCATTTGTTAGGCAGAACTGTTCCACTATATTAACATTATCATACAAACTCTTCTGGAAACAAGCCAGTATGATATTTGGGTCCTGGGTAATTACAACCTAATAAAATCCAGAATCAATGCGCATGATGTGGAGAAATACTGCCAGCCACATATAGAATTATGCATATACATCAGACGGAGAAAAACCTATCAATCTTTTCTAGAATCAACATGTCTTCAAGATAGTCAAATATGCTTGAAAATGTAATTGCCCTTTTCAAGATTCAGTCTCGCTATTGTCAACTCAGGTGAGAATTTAAAGCTCCACTACTCTCTTTATATTCTGCTTCCAACTTGTGTTTTTATTATAAGATTCATGCATTAAGATTTAAGAGTCTGGGTCTCCTCTATTCCTTTCTGGGAAGAAAGAATCGTCTATTGTGCAACCTTCCACTAAAGATGCACACTATTCTAATTATTCCTTCAAGGGATGCATACTGAAGGTCTGTAACGTAATACCATAGAGAAACTCGCGAACCAAACCTAAGACGTCGAGTTTGAAACTAACTGACCATAATAACCGCACTTCTTCCATTTCTCAAGAGTAAAAGTAAATGACCAACTAAGACTAAAAATCTTACCCATTTGGCTTCCTTGAGAGCTGATCCTTGTCAGCAATTCTATCATCATCATTGCTTCCATCCACCTCCCTGCCTACCGAGCCTGAATCACGACCTCGTTCCCAGTTCCAATCAACATTCCTACCTAGGTCTTGTTCGTTCTCGACTCTGTCTTGGACTCGATCTCTATCCATGAATCCATCCCCAGTGCGATCATGATCACGCTCGTGCTCATGCATACGTTCACGTTCATATTCTCTTTCTCTATCCTCATCCCAGGACCGATCAAGTTCTCTTGACCTATCACTGTAATGCTCATGATAACTGTCCCTATCATCAACATCATCATAATCCCTTCCTCGATCTCTATCCCTGTCCCAATCCATTCTCCTCTCTACATCATGTCGGAACAGTTCACGACCGAAATTCGGTCTTCCTCCAGTTGTTACACCGTTCACTCTCACAGGTCTTCCATCAATAGCCTACTCCACAATCCCGAATATCGGGAAAAAAAAACTTCAAGCCAAGCTAAACAGGATCAAGGCAATGTGTTGCTAAAAAAACAGGAAGAAAGCCGATACCTTGCCATTCATATCATCAATTGCATCAATCACTGATCTGGGATTTCTGAAAGTAACAAAGCCATAGCACTTTCCTCTTGTCGCACGGTTATTAATAATCTGTAAGAAAGTAAACAATCCAAATCTCAATTTAGTACACCACTCTCATCTCATCAAGACGATAGAAAATGTCAGTGATGAGAAAAACCGCTCCACCAAAAAACACCTATCCTCACTAGTCTACCAGCAAAGACAGTCAGTTAAGCCTTAGCAGCAGCGAACAATTGCTTATTTGCTTTACAACTTAACTTGAGACACAGCTTATCCGTCTCCCTGATAAAATCCTTTCATATCTTAACAACGGGAGCTAAAATTCATGAAATCATAATGGGGAGACGAATTCAATGGATAATAATAGGAACGAGTAGCAGAAGACTGTGGGGAAAACCTTGACGGCGACGATGGCGCCGTAGAAACTGAAGACTCTGCGAAGGGTGTCTTCCGTGGCGCTGTAAGGAAGCCCACCAACGTATATAGAGTTTTCGTCGTCCACCGTCATCGTACCGGAATGTCTCGGGCCGAACTGGGGATGCCGCACGGGTTCACCGGAAACCTCCCGCCGGTAACGGTGGCGGTTGTCCGCAGCTCCTCCTCTTCTAGCAGCCAGTGGAACGAGTTTGATTTTTTCCAGACATCAACATTTGTCCTTCACACATCCAGTTTCAAAGCTCAAAAAATGAAAGGCTTAATTGCAAGTTTGGTCACTCGAATTGCTACAAAATTTCACGTTTGCCACTCAAATTAATTTATTCCATTTATAGTCACTTAAATTAGGTTAACAGTTCAAGTTTGGTCACTGGCCGTTAGTCTCCATTAACTTTTGCTGATGTGGCGGTCAACTCTTATAGTTGACCGTTAAATGAGTGACGTAGCGATTAAAAATTAATAAAATAAAATAATTTAATTATTTTTTATTTTCCACCTAATTATTATAAAAATAAAAATAAAACCTAATTCCTTTTAATTGTTATTTTCCACCGCCCGTAGCCATTCCTCTCCCCTCAGGTCGACGACCTCTCCCGGCCGGCCAACCCGTCGCCTCCGACCTTCCCGAGGGAACCCAATGGCGATACAGCGAGTTTCTGAACGCGGTGAAGAAGGGGAAAGTGGAGCGGGTTCGGTTCAGCAAAGACGGGTCCACCCTCCAGCTGACCGCCGTCGGCGGCCGGCGGGCCGCCGTCACCGTCCCAACCGATCCTGACCTAATCGACATCTTAGCGATGAACGGCGTCGATATTTCCGTCTCCAAGGGTGATTCCGGTAACGGACTCTTCAGTTTCATCGGCAATCTCCTCTTCCCTTTTATCGCCTTCGCTGGACAGCGTAGTCGTGGCGCTCGAGCTTCGTGAGGTCGAGTAGATCGTCGGCGATGCGTTCCAGCTTCTGGGTTCGGGTCTCTGAAGGCGCTGCGGCAGTGGGCGGCTGATAGGGAGCGAGAGATGCCGCTCTTCGGACTGAAAGTCAACAACTTGGTTAGGGATTTGGCCGGGAACTTTGAGGAGATGGAAGCCATTTTCGCCAATTGCGGCGAGGAAATTTTGGGTTTCGAAGGGTTCAGGGTTTGAAAGGGATTTGGGAATTCAGGAAAGAAAGCTACGGGCGGTGGAAAATAACAATTAAAAGGAATTAGGTTTTTTTTTATTTTTATAATAATTAGGTGGAAAATAAAAAATAATTAAATTAAATTATTTTATTAATTTTTTAATCGCCACGTCACTCATTTAACGGTCAACTATAAGAGTTGACCGCCACATCAGCAAAAGTTAACGGAGATTAACGGCCAGTGACCAAACTTGGACTGTTAACCTAATTTAAGTGACTATAAATGGAATAAATTAATTTGAGTGGCAAACGTGAAATTTTGTAGCAATTCGAGTGACCAAACTTGCAATTAAACCAAAAATGAAATGAACCGAAATTTGGGCCCGGATGGAAATGGCGGTTGATAGGCCAGCATATCTGGGCTTCTTGTCGGAGTTCAGGCCCTAGCCAGGATTGAGCATTTTTTTTTTATGGGAAGGATTGAACAATTTTGAACTGCGCATAAATGGGTTAAAGCCCATTAATTATGATAATAAATATAATTACAAGAAATGAGCTGCAATATAATGGTATTATGGTAAGACGCTTTTATTAATTCATAAAAAAATGCTTTTATTTGAATTTATAAGTGTTGAGTTTGATCTCCTATATAGATATACTTAAAAGTTGAATAAATTTTTACGCAAAAATGTAACTCACATAATTAGGCCTAGCTCCGCATATGCTCATGACGATATGAGGAAAAGTACATGATTAGTCATTGAAACCCTTTCTTCTTCATTATTTCAATAAGCCGCTAATAACCACCAACTTATACGATTTGGATCCCGCTTAAAGTTGAATGACATTAAAACAAACTCTCCAAACGAGATTCCAATCTATTTCCTCCCACCAGCAAGAATGTTACTACATTGGTCATCAAGATCACTAAAACCCACTTGTCCAACTTGTCACAAAATTCAATACCCTCGTAATGTGAAGCCGTGAAGGTCTTTACTCAAAAGAAACAAGAAAAAACAACATTCCACATGACATGCTCTACCTCAAATATGCATGTATTGCTCAAAGGCTTCCCAAACCCCCCTTTTTGCCTCGTCTTAACTTCCTCTTTCAGATTTGGTACTAGAATTAGCAACAATAATTTTTCTGCTTGCTGATGTAGACATCATCATCAACCCCATCTAATACTTGTCCACTACCTACCACATTAGCCAAACTGAGGATACGTCAACAACTCGTTGATCTAAAAAATTAGGAATCTTATATAATATACTTTCTTACGAAAGCCAATTCAAATGGATTTTAGTCTTTAAGTTTACACAAGTTTGAATACCACGTGCTTAAACAAATGAAGGTCGTCGGGATTCGAACATAAGAATTTTTTGTCACAGAAAACTTCGAGAACCATGATCACATTAACTCAAGTGAGTTATTGTGGTTCTTATACCACATACTAACATATCATGATTCTGGTTCTAACTTCTGAGGATCACGGCTCTTGCGGTCGACCCCCTTACACCGGACGATGACACGCTATTTTGGAAAGCCTCTTCAGACGGTCGTTTCTCCACCAAGAGCGCCTATCAAATGATGTGCTCCACTGGCAGCTCTAACCAGCCCCGAATTTGGAGTCACATTTGGAAGCTGCAAGTTCCGGAACGAGTCAGATGCTTTGCGTGGCTGGTCGCTCACAACAGGATAAGCTGTAACGAACAGAGGGTCAAACGACATCTTTCCTCCTCACCTTTCTGCTACAGATGCCCGCTGCAGGTTGAGACTCCCCTTCACGCTCTCAGGGACTGCCCCCCGGCAGCTTATACTTGGTCTCGCCTTGTTCCAGCCGAGCGACAGTTCAGTTTCTTCAGTAACAGTCTTGAGCAGTGGTTGTCCTCCAACCTGAAAGAGGAGGACAAGCTCGGGGGTGATATTCCGTGGAATGCATACTTCAGCATTGGTCTGTGGAACTTGTGGAAAAACAGGAACGATGGAGCTTTTAATGGGATCGAGAAGACGCTCTCGCCTCCTTCTCTTCTACAAGCCACCAAGATTAAAGCAGACTTATGGTATAAGGCTTGGTCAGCCCCCAGAAGAGTTTTGGGACGAAGGCCGGTCTCATTGCAGAGAACTCCCACTGAAATTGGCTGGTCTCCTCCGCCGGCGGGTTGGGATAAGATGAACGTTGATGGCGCGGCTAATGGGAGGCAGGGACCTGCTGGGGCAGGCGGCATCTTGAGAAACTCAGAAGGCAGGTGGATCGGTGGTTTCGTGTGCAGCTTGGGGTCGTGTTCGGCAATCTTGGCTGAGCTTTGGGGTATATATCACGGGCTGGGCGTGGCTTGGCAGCAGGGAAGTAGAGCTCTCATCCTCGAGACCGACTCCCAAATGGCTCTGCAACTCATTGACAAGAGAACTGATCCTCTTCATCCGCATTCTACTCTTCTTGGCGCTATCAGACGCAGGATTGCCCGAGACTGGGTGGTTAAGTTAGCCCATACTTATCGGGAAGGGAATAGAGCTGCGGACTGGCTCTCGAAGCACAGTCTCGTCTACCCCTACGGTAAGCTTGAACTAACGACACCACCCCAAGGGATCCAACACATCATCAGAGACGATTGTAGAGGAACAACTTTCACTAGGAGTATTGTAACTGCTCCCCACACTCACCTCGCTCTGTAATCTCCTCCCCTCCTCCCTCTGTTTCAGTTTCTTTGGCTTTTGCCTCCCTGTAACCCAAAAAAAAAAAACTTCTGACGAATGTAGTTAAGCAGAAGAACCGATGCTCATTACAGAACTTGAAGTTTGCACATGTTCGAATACCAGGTGTTTAACAAGTGAAGGTCATCGAGATTCGAACAGAAGACCTCTTGGTTAAAAAAAAAGCTCTGATGCCATATCGAGAATCAATAGGATACCAATAACTCAAATTATTGTGTAATCATATACTAACAGATCTTGATTCCTGTCCTAATTTCCGATGAATATAGTTAAGCAGAGGAACGGGTGATCATTACAAAACTTGACCGAATGAGAGTAAAGTAGTGGTAGCACTTCAAGATCCCGTGGAAAAAGTCATTCTGATTTTCCAAGGTCGGATTATGAAACAAGACGAACCACCGGTTGTCGATTGTTCCAATGATGGGGGCGTTGTAATTTAGCGCCCTGCAAATTATAGCTGGAATGAAGGTGACATGCATATATAAAATCATATATAATTCGTTGGATACTTTATATATTCTAATTAAGTTCTATATATGATCGATATATAACTCCTTAAAAAAACTCATAAATGGTGTTCACCAATAATGGGTCTAAGTTAGTATGATAATGCATTGCTGTTGCTGGCTCCCATCATCATGTGGGGAAAGTAATTAAGTGGGTAGTTGAATCGCGATACACTGACATTGTAATTGTCAGATGAACGAATATTTCTTTCACCTCTGCTCGAATTATTTATTGGAAATATTGTGAAGTCTTTAATAATTAAGAGGTATATTCGTCTCATACTAAAAATGATAGACAATCGAATGCTACATCAACTTAAAGAAGCAATGAGCTAGCAACATGGTAATCTCGCGACTCGAAATCACCTATAGGATCAACAATTATTTGTAAAATTGATAAAAGTTGCTGTTGGAAAGAAAAGGAGAGTGCTGATGATCAGTGATGAAGTGACATACCCACGAGAGCACTACAGCGGCATTGATCAGCAGCTAGGGAATCAGGTTTCAGGTGGAGATCGATCGAATCATCAGTTCAGCTCACTGTTTCTAATCATATCTTACCCTCCCCTCCCAACAACAATGCAAATGAACAGTCAGCTCCATGCATATATGCCTGGGATGTGCAATTACATATGTTGTGTTGTAATCTGTTGATCAGTATGATATGTATTAGCTAATTCACGGGACATGAGAGACTTGTTTTACTATACTCGAGAAGATATAGATTACAGAGACAGAGACTGTATATGTATAGGCTATAGCACTCTAGACTGCCTAACTCTAGTCCAACTTGAAAGCAAAAGGCTGCACATCAGGCCCAAAACAGTAAGATAAGTGTGAATAAGCTCATACAGTACCGTGACTTCCAGTCACGCGACAAATAATCGGTCTTCAATTCATAGCAACAAACAAATTGTGTGTAACGATTAATGTTGGAGGTAGGGGGTGTAATTAAGCATGGCCTTAGATACGTGCTTGCTCCCTAGGGTTGTGCTAGGTCAATGTGTCTATAAAGTCAGCTTAGAGTAGAGTTATCTTTTGGCCCTGTAGAGGTCGGGTAGGTTGCTTTTGGCCCTATGACCCATAGCAACAACTAGTTTTTTTTCAAAAAAATTCTCTAACCAAAAGATTGTACTTGTTTGTAAATTTTCAAAAGTTTAGGCACTATAATGACGTCTAGAAATATAAAGGTACTAAAATGTAATTTTTGGCACCAAATTTTTTTGGCCTATTTGTAAAAAGATAAAGTATAGGTACTAAAAGTTGTAAGAAAAATAAATTTGGATATCAAAATGTAATTTTCTGAATATCAATTTGTTGATTTGGACCGACCCGTAGACTTGCCTCTGCTCGTCCCAAACGAGTGGGACAGGGGTCAAAGAGAAATATGGCCGGACCGGACGAGGTTTATAGTTTGACCGAGAGAGCCCAACCCAGGTATTTTAGGATAGTTCTGGAGTCAAAGTTGGGTTTGACCCTCTTTCACCATTAGTTGGAATTCATTAGGACCGGAGTACGTAGGAGACTTCAATTCTTGGTCGAATGTTGTGTATTCTTTCTGCTGCAAATGAATAATGATCAACACTGTTAAAAAGATGGGTTCAAGAATCAGAGATGATTCTGTGTGTCTTTTTTTTTTTTTTTTTTACTGCAAGCTAGGCCTGCTGCTAGGGCACTGATTGGCTTACCCTTTTCAACCCAAAAAGAGATGGTCGGGAATCCTCCGATGATGAACCAAAACAAGCAAATTTTGTATGGTGGAGGATCACATATCGATTTTTATGGTGCATGGTGGTGGCCGGCCGGAAAAGAAAAATGAGCAGCAAACACAGAGAGTCTTTACGTCCTTTCTTTTCCACTCTGGTCTCTTACTTAGCAAGCGTATCATCATTCATTATTGAAGTGTGGGGAGCAACAAAATTCGATCAACTTTTTTTTTCTCCTTTTGGGTAGTTGAGTCAAAAGGGATTTTGAAATTTACTTTTGATGATGTGGTGGGTCTCTCTCTCGTGTTGATAGATCGTACCATGAATGACGGGTAGCTCGCCAGCCTCAGCTGAGACATGGAATTTGGTATGGTGTCATTTCGATTGTGATCCTCCTTTAAAAAAAAAAAATCTCTTTTAGTGGTTGATATATTGGAGAATCTCGTTGTGTGTTTGGATCGTCCATTTTCATAAATTTGGCCCAATAATCACAAGAATAGGAATAGTCTCGAACGTATACATTGAAGTACTGCGCGTCTTGTCACAAATGCTACCTAATTACGTTTTCCGTCCAAGTCTTGCACATGGATTTCTGTCGCAAAAGAAGTTGATGTAGCAGCATTGGATCATTCGTTTTAGTAAATTTGTCTTGTCTGGTGGTCATAATAACCGTATGCAATGAAGTGCCATGTCATGTCACAACCAAGGGGGGGAAATTGTACAGTACTGGTAGTTCGACCAGAAAAATCTGCTACCAGATGCTAAATGGATAGGCAGTATTTAGAGGTATTGAAACGGTTAAACGGCAACCATAGCAGTTTTCCTAATAGACTACTTATCATCATAATAAACATTCCACTAACAACAACGCTTTTAATCATGATTTCAGCATAAAATACCATACTGGTGAGTTTTTCGGTACAACCTCCGATAAGATTACAACCATTGGTCCCAACACGTCCAAGTCTAGTACAGAGGTTTCTGTCACAAAAGAAGTTGATGTAGCACCATATTGGCTATATGTTTGGTTAGTTTAGTGATGAGGTGACAAATAATTAAGAACCCTTGATGGATCAGTAATATTTTGATGATAAACTGGTGCTATCAGTAGGGGGAAACATGCAGATCGATTAATAATGGTGGGAACATAAGCATCTGTTGGAATAGATTGATGGGTAATCTGTGAATTTGACTAAGGAGCTAGCTAGAGAAGAGAAATAAGCGACTAATCAAGATTGAGATTTTGGGTTCTACTTCTAAGTTCTACCTATCCTGTGGTTGAGGAGATTTTCAATTTTCTAAGACTTCTAAATCTTAAATTTTCACTTCACGAGTCACGGCTGTGAAAAGGATGTAGGAATAAATATTGAGTTTAGAAAATGATGGTTTGTTTGACTAATTTTGAATTTTTACATGTTCTAAAGGGTGATTGATTAATTAAGTTGGGTTGATATTAATTGAAAAAGAAGTTATACGTTCGAGTTTTTCGAACTCCTATTTTAACACTTCTATCACAAAATATCCATAATTTCCCTTGTATTCAGGCAAGAAAAACTTGGCATTGGAGGTCAAGAAAACTCACTTCCGAGTTTTGAATTCGGAATATGTTAATTTAGTTATCACCGACCCATTGGTCGGATTCATTTCGTCACTAAATTCCATTTTACTATTTTTCTTATTGATTTGTATTCTAATAAAATTGTTTCTCCAATTTTTTTCTCTCAATTAGATATGTGAATCTAACATGATATCATCGGAACAAAATTAGCTTTTTTGGATCTCTTCTTTCTTCCGTTTTCTTCTTTATATCTTCAAAGACATCTGCCAAATATATTTTTAATATTGGTCATTATAGAATAGGGTAATGTCATAACACTTTCATAATCCGAATTGCAAAAAACCTTTGTAGCTCATGAAAGCACAAAACTCATTATGATCAATGGCCACCTCATATATGAGAAACTTGGTTTTGTATTGATAAACCTTCTACACATAAATTCAACCAACCAAATTGCAAAATTTCTAATAAAATAAAATCACTATGCGAGTATGCCAGTTCCGTGAATTAAACATCAAATTGGATATGTGTGAGCCCTTAGATCGATGCTCCGAACTCGATATGTCCAATAATGGCTGATATGAAGGAAAAGGTAGTTGGAATATTTTTGTTTATTCATGCATGAATGGTAAGTTGGGAATTTGCATTGACCTAACTAAAATAGTAAAATACATTACTTGAGATAATAATTGTTGTTGAGGTTCAATAATTATGAGCCAATTATGGGTCAAGTTAACTTCGATAACAAAAAATGTCTCAAAACTTATTTTAATTATGGTAGGTGTTGGTGGATGGCATCCTCTTGGGATGGTTTTTGCAGGATACCAAGTTGGCAAGTTGTTTAGCCTTCCATGACTTGGGTTTTAAAAATATTTAATCACCACAAATATCATTCTCACAACTACAATTATTCAAGAAAATTATTATTATTTAAGAATTGAACATCATTTTCAAAGCGGCATTTTCTAGAGCGAATTTTTTAAGAGGGAAGAAGAATAATAGTAAAATGGTAACTTAAACGAACTTAAAAAACAAGTTAAGAGGGGGAGAAAATTATATTGGTGTAATCACTGTCAACATGTGCAATAAATAGACAGGCGAAAGCAACATCCATTTCATGGTCATGGTTCTCGCCGGTCTGCCTAGGACGGTTGATTAACCTCAGAGTTACAAATTCTAACGAGTTGAGATGTGATGTGGTCTGGATGAACAGAAACTTCTCGCGGTTCGATTGTAGATCATGAAGTGGTGATCCATAAGTTTCGTGCGAGAGTGAAAGATCGAATTGGATTTGAGATATGTTGCACCCAAACTGTCATCGCAGCGTACAAGAATGAAGGATTATCGAAGGTGCGAGTTAGTTGCCTGGATTTGATGCCAAGCGAGCTTGGAAGCTAGCCGCGCGACGATGGTCTGCTTTTCAGAAGACCAGGAGAATGAGGTAGTGGTCAATACAGATGATCTAAGTTGAAGTGTAAAAAAATCGATTATCAAGATTACCACCTCAGTTAACATATCAAACTAGGCACACAAAGTAAGAGGCTAGAGACCCCTAAAACATGACCTCAAATTCTCTTCAGATTTCATAAAACACATTTGATCTCGTTCTAGTTGAATCACTGTAATTTTTTATATCCGCCGCAGTAATTTCAACTAGACAATCAAAAATCTCTTAAGAAGATAGCGCGCAACATAGAGTAGAAGTAACGGAAACAAGAGAGCTTAATTAGAAGGGTGGAAAATGGTACTTTAACAATTTCTTCACAAGAAGGGGAACAAAAGAGTGTCTATAAGATAATACTTGGTTGGAAGGTAGATTCAAACCTCAAATCTTGCTAAGATGAGTCCAACACCTCAATCATTTAAGTTACATTCTCATTGCGAGAAAAAATTCCTCCAACTTCAAACACCATAAAATCCATCATCTCAAATCCACCAAACCAACTCAATAATCACCTAAATCCACCCTCTTAATCTCTTGAACAACATAATGCACAATCATCTGCAACCCTAAAGGCTTCGAAATGGAATCTAGTGATCTACCACCAAGTTGCAAGGGGACAGAGGAATGAGAGGAAAGTGTTGGAGTGGGGTCTTACAGAGTTGCGTGAATAAAGATGGGCCGAGTGAGTGAGTGAGTCCGTAATGTTGCTAAAATTGGGCGTCTGACTCACTCAGTACTCCTATCTATTTTGTGTTAGCAAGGAAAGGGGCTATGTTCCCTACTCATCACTTCTTTTGGCCCAAACTCCACCACTCCAACAAGTCCCCTCACTAACTCACACACTCATACTTGTGACCGTGACTCGTCCATCCATAAAAATCATGCTCAAAGTGTAAAAAAAAAAAAGTAACTTCACGAGTAGGATTGTTCAATAGTCAGGTCCGATTGGAATCATATCAAACTCATAGGAATCACGATCCAATAGTGAAAACATTCTTAGAATCAAGGATCGGACCAACATTGAATTCGGTCTTGTTTGGTCAGGTCCAAATGTCAATTTGATCCATTATTTTTCAGTATTTATAAAAATCATAGGACTAATGACCAGATCACACCATATTTGGTTCTGTATGGTTCGGTCCAAACGATGAGTTGGTCCATTCCGATCGGGTACGAACCAAACCGTTGCACACCCCTAATTCATAGGTAAAGGACATACACTTCCCAATCATGCCTTATCCATAATAGTCTAGACCAAATCAACATGAATCTAACTCGTAGCGGTTCTAAATTTCTAATGTGTTCACCTATCTAACTGACCAAGAGAGAAAAAGGTAAAAAGAAAAACATACAGTGAGATTATCACCACCTTAAATCTGTCAAGTAAAGATCGATTTGCATGCCCCTTGTCTGTTATTTCTCCTCCTTTGTACATTTCACAGTAGTCATCATATCGTGGCTTCTCAAACTTCAATCCAATATCCAATGCCAGCGGTCCAGAAGATCCAAATGACAAAACAACACGAAAAATGCTGGGTTCGAGTTGAATCGTGACTACCCGACCAAAGTCTCAATGCTCACTGAAGTCAGGACCGACGAGACGAATCACTCAACGATTAGTAATTCGAAATTTCCATTCCACAATCACTAGAGAGGGAGAGAGAGAGGACAAGGCAACGCTATGATGAACTATGTGGTTTTGCATCAAAGGGTTAAAAAAAAGAGAAGAGAGATAGATTGGAGGGAACAGTCGGACAGATGTGTCATGTGACCAACACCTTTCTTTCCATTGGGGGCACTCTGTTTTTTCCTTTCCATCATCTCTCTTTCACAAAAACAGAGCTCACCATCTCTCCCACCCCTTCTCCTTCATTATTACGGGAGGGGCCAAACCCCACTGGAAAAAAGGGCAAGAGGGTCCCGTTTCTCTCAATTCCCCCCTTAGCACTTCTTCGCTTGGCAATTTTGGTCCATGCCCACATGGTATAGTACTACTACTTGCCACCCCGTTTCCACCCCCCACCACCCCCGTTACAACTCATCCCGTCCCTTTCTCTCTTCCCATGTAACTGTGTCTACCTAGTCTTTCTTTCACCAGTCGATTTCATACACACACTTGCCTTATCCTACAGTTGGAGATTGGGAGTTGGGAAGGACACCCTGATGATATTCCTCGGATACCTTCTCGGGTTCTGTAGATAATCCGAAAGAGATTTGGTTTTTGACATGGTATTTGAGATTGTGTTGATGGAGATATTTCGTTGTTGAACTCATCCTTGTTATCTCAATAGGAAGTTTTGAGGGCATGCACATAAGATAATGTTCCATTCTTCAAAATGTGAGGGTTGTAATGTTAGCACAATATGAGAAAGTCGGGATATGATGGTATGTGAAAATGCAAGTGGTCAGGCAGGGCCGTTCAATGGATCGTGGAGGCCCTGTTCCAAAATTGAAACGCGGCACAAATTGATTTTTAATTATAATAAATTAAAATATTTATATCATAACTATTTGAAATGTAATTTCTTTCTAGCATTGTTTAAAATAAAATTATCTATTATGCCTCTAATTTTCGTATTCTCAATGAGATAATTTCAATTGTTATAGTAGCTATTTCATTGATTTTCTCTTCTGTTCTCTTTTTAAAACAAATAGGATATGTATAGTGTATATATAAGTGTCTAGTGTATATATACATGAGAAAAGTAACTAATGGCTAACACCAATATTAATTAATTCATTATCATACTCATAATCAATTAATTATACACTACAAATATAACCTACAATATATGATTGGTTAACTAACAAATCCACGTGGAGGCCGCTAATAATCGAAGGTCCTGTGCGGGAGGGCCGCTTGGCACACCCTCTTGGTTGGGCCTGTGGTCAGGTAAAAACCTACATGAAAGGAAAACCCTTCATTGCCTCAATCATCATACTAGAAAATCAACAAGCGGATGAGATGCATTGTGCGAGTCCCTAACAAAATGAGTGTTTTGGACGTCCTTTAACAAAATCTTCGGTATTCACAATCGATTTAGATACAAGTTATCATGGATTAGTGCAGACCTTCAAATGTTACAATAAAATTTTTTCGTTGACAATACATTTAGCTAGGTGGTGTAAAATCCATTATTCAACATTTTTCTATGCCTCCTCACTAAAAACACCTTTGCAATTCATAGAATGTATCTGATTACCCCGTCGAACGGATGAATAGACAGACACCAAACACCCCCATTAAATTCCGCCGGGTTGCAACCTTCAGGCTGGAAAAATCCCATCAACAACAATGATTTGAAGAAGTATTAGGAAGAAGTATTCCACCAATATAAAACTCTACGTTGATGATGGAACTCCTTTAATTTCACCCCCATTTACAAATTCATTTATAGGGTCCATCTCACTCCACTTCACTATCACTATATATATATCATACAATAATACCACTGCTAATAATAATACATCGACGTAAATACAAATGCTAATAAGTCCCCCCAAGCTGCCGCCCAAGGGAATCCCATTGGCCAGCAATTGACTTGGTAATTCCATTCCCTCCATTTTCAATAGACTGCTGCAGAAGTGTGGAATGAACACTAACATCGACATATTCGAGACATGAATTCTAGACATTTATGTCGAAAGTCAGCTGCTTTACTGTTCGCTCGCGATGTTCGTTTTAATCCATTTTTTCTGAGCTATGTATGATCGTCAGTCCAGCACTAATTGGGACCGAATTAGCATTAGCTGTACTAAACTCACAAAGGATGATTGAAATGTTTTTTTGATTTCAATGGCGGTCGGTAGATGAACCAAAAATTAAGAGAACCCCCCTTTTGCAAGAAAAAGGGAAGTAAAAAGATGAAGAAAAAAAAATATCTAATTTCCCAAAAACGAACACTTTCCCCCCAACTTCTATTTTTTACAGCACAACCCCACCAACCACCGGGACATCGGAAACGGCGCCGACGGCGGTTTCGGCCACGGCGTGCCAAGCCGAGGCGGCGATGAGCGGCCTGCTGTGCCAACCGAGAGTCAAGCAACCTTCGTTCTCCTCGACGCAGTAACCCTCTGCGGAGAACAGAGTCAGCAACATGCTCGCCTGCTTGAACGCGTTGGACCCCAAATGCAGCGGCCTGAACCCGGCTCGGGTGAGCCGCTCCCTCCAATTGGCCAGCGGCTCGTGCCGCTCGAGCCGGGCCGAGCCCTCGCAGCTCACCACGTTGCAAATCTCCCTCTGAATATACATCTCCGCCAGCGCCTTCTCCGGCTGGAGAGCGCAGGCGTCGAGGGAATCGAACATCGTCGAGTAGTAGTACAGGGATTCGGTGAACCGGTCGAGAAACGCCGGCTGGTTGTGGTTCGATTCCTGCTCGACGACGGTCATGATTTTCGGGTTGAGCGACCTGATCCAGCCTAGGACCGCGTCGATAGGCGCGGGCCGGGCCGGGTCGCCGGGCGAGCCCGGGCCCAATAGCTTGTGGAGCTGCATGATGGAGTTCACCGCCACGGCTTCTTTGGGGTTCACCTGGAGCATCCACGGCTTTACGTCCTCGAGCCGGGCCGCGGCGACGCCGCGGAACGCGAACCGGACGTTGACGGATCGGGCCAGCTCGGCGAGCCGGAGTCCAATCTCGCGGAGGGAGTCGCGCCCGTCGGGGGATGGTGGGCCAATGCCCGTGAGCCTGAGGAGCGGGGGCCCACCGGGCCGGAGGGCCAGGGCCTGGATCAGGGCCGGCCACTGGAGGCCGTGCATCAGGTTGAAGTCCACCACGTGGACGCAATCGTGGCCGTCGAATGCCTCGAGGATCGCCTGATTAGCTGTAAAGTGGGCGAACTTCAGGTACGGACATGCCTCGTAGAAATGGTGGTAGAGAATCTCGTTCTCGTAAGCCGAGCCGCCGGGGACTCCGCCGCCGCCTCCGGCGGCGAACACCCGCCGGCCCAGCGCGTCGATGAAGTACCCGGCGACTTTCCCGATGCCGCAGCCGGTGTTGACCCGGGTCAATAGGGACTGCATATCCTGGATCAACGAACCGGCCAATGCCAGCTCGCCACGTTGGACGTACTCCGCGCACGTCATCAGCATGTGGACCAGCCTTATCCCGGAATCCTCCTCCACGGCCGTCACCACCGTCAATTGCGGCGGCTGCTGATTGTGAACCGCCGCCGTCGGGGGCGGCAGTTGTTGATCCATCCAGGAGCCATCCAGAGCCGTAGGATTAGACATGAGATCCGAGAGATCGGACGGTAGAGAAGGGAGGGACTGGGACTGGTTCAACTCGGAGAGCAACGAGTCGACCCAGGTGGAGAGATCGGAAGGGTTGTAGAGAACGGCGTCGGAGGCGAGGAGCGAGAGCTGCTGTGAGGGGGAGTTGAGCATGGCGGTCTCGAGCCGCTCCAGCCGCTGGGCGACGTGGCGGAGGTCGGAGGAGCGGACCTTGTAGCCGGCTCCGGCGAGGAGGCCATCGATTTCTGGAGGCTTGGGGATGATGGTGTTGGAGGAGGACGACGAAGAACTTGCCGGCGGGTTGCCGATTGGAATTGGAGGAGCTGCGGCGGCGGTCTCGTAAGGCACCATGGTAATTAATTCAGATTGTTGTGGGAATTAGGAATTAGGGGTTTTGGTGTCCTCTTTCTTCCTGGGTTTTGGGATAGAATAATCGGCGGCGGTATGTGGGTTTCGTTCCGAGAGGTCAGGCGGAGATCTGATCGGAATCCATGCCGGGAAATTGGAAAAGGGGAAGGGGGGGAGAAAGGGAGTGAGTCAGCAAGTGAGTGAGTTAGCGAGTGGGAATTAAAAGAGAAGCTGAATGGGGGAAGGTAAAGGAAAAGAAAAGGAGAAGGGGAGTATAGAGGGATTCTTTTTCTATTTATTTTAATTTTGTTGGGTTCTTTTTTTATAATTTGATTAGAGAGAGAAGCTGAGAGGGAAAGGCGGAGAGAGAAATAGAGTCAGAAACTCAGAAGAAGAGAAAGAAGAAGGGGGAAAAAATAATTATATGAAGGAAGACAATTTCATGGATAATTAATTTATATGCTATTTTTATAGGGGATTTTATTTATTTAATAGGGGGTAGAAGAAAACATGAAAGGGAATTTGGGTAGGAGGAAAATTAGTAGGAGTTAATTCTTGTTGAATTTTAGCAGGGAAATTTTTGTGTTACTTGGAATTATTTTCCTTCAATTTGACAAGAGTATATTACTTTTATTGAATATATGCTAAAAATGCTATTGGAATGGGGAGGATCCAACGAAACTATGAAGTGTCTCAGCATCTGCAAACATTTGAGTACCATTTCCCAAGTTTAGATGCTAACTATTAAAACAAAAATTTTATGTTTGGTCTATGTAAATGGGATTTGGTCACTTGATGTCATTTTGTAGGTAAACCCAAGAAATCCACGTTGATGTTGAACTTATGTAGAGTGATGATAGGAAAGTATTTGCGAGTACAGAAAAAAGGTCGCTTTGTTTTTTGTTTGGATATTTCGAATTTAAAATTGACATAGGATCAAATGAAAAAAATGATGAAATGTGAAAAGGAGGATGTAATTATAAATATGGTCGATTTTATTTAATCTAATTTAATTTTTAGTACCTCAAAACAATGATAATCATAGGACAACATCTTGAACACCCTAGAAAGTATAAGTTATGAGGCTTTGTTAGTCTTTGGTGAAGGAGGAGAGGCGATTGCTGGTGGGGTGTTAAGGTTTTGGTGAGATTTGGCGGTTTTGGGGGTTTGGGCCAAAATTGGTATGTGGATTTTGTTTAAGAAAGTGGAAAAGAGAGTAGAGGGTTGGAGTTTTGGAGATGGCCTGGTTAAGCTCGAGTTGGTTCGGTTTATTGTGACATTTACATAAGGAAAGGAAGAAAACTTATTGATTCTTCATAATTAATGATCAATTATTTTTTGTTACGAGACATTCTTCTTTATTACCGATTCCTCCATTTATGTCTGCTCGAGACACAAATACATGGAGAGAAATCAACAATGTTGTACTCAAGGTGATTGAAACACTAACTTCACCTTCTAATACTCCCTCAAGCATTTCTTCCCTCACCCCCACACAACTTATCGTATGTTCGAGATTGATAGAGCGAGAGGAGGGGGGTGGGGGGCTAAGCAAAACGAGTTCGATTGCACGAGATGATAGAAGTCGGGTAATTAGTATTTCGAGTAGGGTGAAGATGACATTCTACTGAGTTTCATATCAACTTATTAGAAGGTGGATGTAACATTTTCTCGATGCTAATTACTCGAGTTACATAGCAATGCATGTTATCTTGTTGAAAACATGAACAAATGTAAACATGAATTAGCCCTAATGATTTAGTATCATATATGTCGATAAGTGGAGTGCATTGTGAAGATAAAAACCAAACACTTTCCTTTTCTTTTTCCAAGTGTAGGAAATACGCGCCCATTCTAACCAGCCCACCATAGGGAGCCAATTGCGCACAAGAATTCAACTTTGGTAATTAGTCACAACGTTCCACCCAAGTAACAGGATTAGTCGAGATAATGCAATTCTTTTTTGGTGAGTTCTTCAAAATTGGCAATTCTTGTGCTCAGTGATTGGATTCCTTGCAGCCTCCCCTACTTGTAAAGATTGCCTTACTTTTGGTAACAATTTGAAGCTACACTTTACCTTTTCGTAAACTAAACTGATCTTAATAACTTGAGTTGCTAACAGAGAATCGTGTATGAATTTAACCAGTTTTTTTATGTGCCCTCTATGTCGGAAGCCAACTCATGTACTTGAAATTTGCATAGGCACCCGATACCATGTGCTTGAAAAGGAATCGTTGATATAAGGGGTAGTGAGAGATTGAACATGTGCCTTCACGATTAAATCAGTTTGGATATCATGTCATAAATCAAGCAATTTCAATAACTAAAGTCGTTGAGAGTTTAAGTATATTACTTTCTTCTATAAAAAAATATTACTTCCTTATATACATGCAAATAAAAACTTGATAAACTTTTTAGATTATCATGAATATTTTAGCCAGAATGATTGGTCTTGCAAAAGTGTCCATTAATATTTACATGAGCGATTACCATAAAGTTGAACCATGGTATAGCCCACAAAGGAAGCCCCATAGTCTCTACAACATGATCTTAGAATACTAATTGGTGGAAGAAATTGCAATTAATGTAAAACAAGTAAGCAATCATCCAAAGAGGTGGGTTCGTTTCTCATTTAAACATTAGGTTGATTCTTAACATGTTCTAATAATTCGAGTTTTTGAAATGAGTTGTTTCTTTAATATGCTAGTTTTTTATTGAGAGGTTTTGGATATGGATTCTTTGGTGGTTCTCAAGATCAACTGTTGATTTAAGCAAATGGTATGACTTGCATGTGCAAATTAACTTCAAATTCGTGAGTTTGGTCTTAATTTGAGGGAGAATGTAGTCAGTGGCGGATACATGCATGGGACACCCCTAAATTTTGGAAAAACGATTATCCAATCTCCGATAGTAGTTTGTGTATGGATAAAAAAAATTTAAGTCATAGCAGGACACCCTTAAATTTTGGGAAAAAGGATTATCCAACTTCGTGTAGTAGTTTGTGTATTGGTACAAAAAATATGTAAGTGATAGTCATGTGATTTGAACTTGGCACACTACTACTATTCTTAAATATATTTTCAATTAGACTACAGTTCATTTATTGTTGTGTTTTAGATCCAAATATAATAGTAAAAGACTATACTTATCTCAAAATTTTTCAAAACCTAACGATTAAACCCAAATACTTGCTACCCTTGTCTAATACGATATGTCGAGAGAGATTTGTTGAGCAGTGTAGACACCAAATGTTTTTTTTATCATTTTTTCATAATACGAAACACATCTGAACTTTAATTGTAATTTTTTCCCGATGAACAGATTCTTTTTTACTAGTCGAACATTGAAATTTTTACTATTCGGATATTTTCATATATAATAATTATTTATTTTAATTTGTAATTATAATTAAATTAAATTTTGGGAGAGAACACGCCTATATAAAATTTCTAGATCCGCTACTGCATGTAGTAGAGGTGATATAAAATCGATTATTGAGTCTCTCGCAACAACCTATCTTATTGAAACCATTGAGTTCTCAGCACTTTCTCAATTAGTTCGTCTTTTCTTGTGAAAACACAAAGCAAAGGAGCACGAGCATCTGTATCGTTAATCAACATTGATTTTGAAATTCGCTAAGAATATGAATATCTAGAGGAGGAGGCCTCATTGAGAAGCTCAATGGCTTTAAGACATGCAAGGTAATCTGTTATAAAATTGTTCTCTTCATTGACGATTTAGAGATGGCAATGGGACCGGTTTGCCTAAACCATTCCCATCTTCGCTTTCAAATATTAAAACCCATACCCGCCTCATACCCATGCGGGGAGGGTTTTCCAAACTCATCCCCATACCCGTGGGTTTCGGGTACCCATGGGTAACACCTAATATTAATGTATAAGTTTTCAATTATAACACTAAATGCACCTACTATATCATGATCGAAGTCGGCAAAGAGACAATCATTCTTAACACGGTTCAAAGCATCTTATCATAAAGCACCGTTAATCCATAAGATAGAATACAATGTAATCCAAATCATTACTCTCTTACTCTAATACATCTACTAAGTAATAACTAACTAACATAATCTTGTTAACAATCAAGTTTTGATTTGGGTAGCCATCCAATTAAATTTCTACAAAATATTTTCTTAAGTTACCCTCCCTATTATAGATAGGTTACAATTTAATCAACATATTTTTTTATATTTTAAGAAATTATCATAATGGGGCGGGTATGGGTATGGGGCGGGACAGGCTAAAACCATACCCGTCCCATACCCATCAAACGTTTTGCCATATCTGCCCCATACCCGGTCAAGGCGAGGATTCTTTGTGTTGATTGGATCGGGGACGGGTGGATACTCGCTGTCATGGATTTGATTGTCATATCTAATTCATGTATATAAGTTTATCCTCCCGTCAAAGAATAGTTAGATGGCAAAAAATTTGTAGCAAGAGTGCATTGTGCATACGATCTACTTAACGTAGGAGACGAATCAGAAATAGAGCGCCGGTTTATAGAAACACCTTCCCGAGCACCATCGAGGCCCAACTGATTAGTTCAAATTTGTAATTTGTAAACATCACATGGAAACTTGTTTATTGGTTATTCGAAAATGACCCTCCAACAACAAAATAATTGTGGGATAAAAACTCTTAATTATGTTGTCATCTCATACTTAAAAACAAAACCAAACTGAAAAATCCCCATAATTACTTACTTACAAACTAGAACTTTTATTAATTAGTTTAGGCAGTCGCTTTAGTTGCGTATGTGTATCCTCTGCAGCTCTGCTAAACTTCAATTTTACCAGCGCAGTGCTGAGAATCTCTGACGCAGATCTCTAATTTTTTTCACCCACCTGGAAGTTAATAAACTGCCAGAAAAAATCGTTTCAAGAACAGCAGCAGATTAATAAAGATAAAACTGTCATTACAAATATACTTAGGGTTAATTTTCCCCCATAAAAATCAAATTAGCCATCCAACCCTTCATCAGCCGTTCTGCTTACTTAGTGTGCCCACCTAATCAATCAAATCTCTCCATAAAATAAAAATGTCAATACAAATATTATTAGTGGTATTGTAGCGTATCGATGGTAAGATGATCCTAAAACAATTTATTTATGGCCAGGTCAGTGTCATACATACATGTACATAAAAAAAAATATGTGTCGACATATCTTTCGATATCGCAACCAAATAGCCATTGACGTTGTATATCAGTTAGTTTTTGCCGGTATTATATCATCATATTATTGTTAATATATCATCTTATTTTAACAATCGCGTATATCTCCTCGATATGCTATTGGGTAGATCATTACTATGCCATTAAATACCATTGTGCTAACTCCTTTGGTAAGATCTCTGGTTATGTTTGACAAACCACGACTACAAATCCAATAAGGTAGTATCGACATG